TTCAATATTTTTGAAAGAAAAAAATAATAATTTGAATAAGAAAGAAAATGACAGATATTTTATTGATATAATATAACCAAATTTTTTTACTTTTAAATTATAATTTATATCAATTCTCATTGAGGCATCTTTAAAATCTATCAGTGATTATTTATATAATCTACATATGTTTTATATACTGATTAACATTTGTGTCAACTTTCAATTTTGTTTCATATATTTTTTACTTCAATCCTTAAAGAGCCTTTGGCTAAAACTGGAAATATTTTTGTAGTTAATTTTTTTTTTAATCTAGCATTACAATTATCATTTAGAATAAAAATACTATCAACTAATCCATTCCAACCATCATGAAGAAAGAAAATGTCTTCAACATTCATTTCTCTACTATTTGACCTGGAACTAATAAAAACCAATTACATTCATCATGATTACCATATTCTTCACCAAGTGTGAATCTATTTAGTAAAAACATAGGTCTATTTAACATTCTCTCTAAAATAAAAGTAAAAATTCTACATACACTTTTCTTGGTTTATATAAAAAAAAAAAAAATCACATAAAATATATCCTAGAATCACTTTCAATAAAAAAAAAAATTAAAGTATTTTGTTCTTTCTTATTTGTAAATTTTTTTTATTCTTTTAATTTTTTAATTTTCTATTAATATAGAAGTTGGATCTAATTTCAACCAACTCATCCAAGAAAAGAAAAAAAACAATAATTTTTTCTTTAACTATTATTTCAAAACTTAAGATTTTTTATTTTATTTTTTTATTGTCTTTAGATTCTATTGGTTTTCTAAAAATTACAAATAAACACATCAAAATAGGCCTCAAAACACTTAAAGCCTCAATCAAATTGCCACCAAGAATCAATTTCCAAATATAGCATTGGAAAATTTTTAAAACTTAAATCTATATTCATCCAAATGAATAGCTAGTGCAAGTCTTAAAACAATTCAGCATGTTTGCTCAAGTGAAAGTACCTACACAAAGACATATTTTCAAATATTATTGCTAGATTTGAAAAAGCAATACATGATAAAAATTCAAATTCAATCCCAACTTGGGTTAAATCAGAAAATTTCCAACGCTTTGAAAAGAAAAGAAAAAAACACAACAAACACACATAGCAAGTGCACAATTGAAGAAGAAAGAAAGAAGGGGGGGGAAAAAAAAAAAAAAAAAAAAAAAAAAAAATCCCTTTTAATCCTTCACCAAACACCAGGTCCAGCAAGCGGGAGGCCATGTCACACTCCACACACGTGAAGTCCCCGTCACCACCCAGCATGAGGCACACACACAAAAACAGACACAGCCATGCGCAAAGAGAGCCTCACATGGGCAAAGCTATCTTTCGGGGCCCATTCCCATGCTCATTCTCATTCTCGCCACACCGCAATGGAATGGAACGGCTACGCCATAATCAGAATCAGATGGATGAAGATGAAGCAACGTTAGTATGAGAAGCAGCAGCAGCAGAAGAAGAAGAAGAAGCGGAAGAGGAAGATGCCCAATCGGAAGAGAAAGGCAGTGAGAGAGGTTTGAGCGAAGGGAGGGCTCACGGTGGTTATGCGAGAGCGGTGGAGTGGGGCTTACTTTGCAAAGGACAAGAAGGACAAGGAAGAAAAAGGGGAGCGAAGGGGGGGAGGGGGAGTCTTTACTTACTGATGGAATCCTCCTCATCACCACCACCACCACCATCTTCACCATCATCATCCACACGCAATTGGGTGCTTCCCTTTCGGATCCCCTCCCTCCCCTGGCGGTCGGTCCTCCGTCCACCTACCCACAGATCCACATCGAGGCAACTTGCGCAGATCCGTCACCAGCTTGTTGTTGAGGATCAATCTACCGGCAGGTTTTCCCGATTCGGTAATGGGAGTTGGAAAAAGCTTGGGCAGTCTGAGGGACACAGTGCTGGGATGCGTAGGTGTCGCTCCCGGAAAAAAGCTCACATTAGACCGGTCGACACGGAGTTATTTGAAGTCGTGTGGAGCCAGGTTGAGCTACGATGAGTCAGATCAACAGGGTCGCGGTTTCAGCGATCAGAACCAGGTCACGGAGTTGCTTGGTCAGATGTGTTCCTGGCGCACTACATCAAGGCCCAACACTACAGACCAAACGGAGCAATCAAAGCGATTCCTGGGATCGATCGCACCGACCAACTCTGCATTCACAAGTTCAGCAACCATGCGATGTTCGATTTGAGGGTGAGCAGACAAAACTAAGGCAAGGGACTTCAACTGGAGCACACTGCAGCAACAAATCCTGGTGCACGAGCGGAGAAAATTCCACTTTCGCGTTGGCTCAGGTCTAAATCCACCGTGAAGAGACTCTGTCACCGCCTCCAGCGCAAGTTAAGTTCTCAACTAGGCACATCTGATGTGATGGGAACCGGGTGAGATCCACGCCACCCTCTTAGATTTTCATACAGTTCGCTGATTGCTTCGTTTCTGAGTTCAGTTGCATGGGTCCGATTGCATCGGAGTTCATCGGCTGGGGATGGATTCAAACGCCGATGCGAACCACAGTGAACAGATCCGCCGTGGTTTGCACAGTTCTTCGATGAGGCCAGACGATGGATCTGATCGTTCCGGTTTTTGTTGCCATTGCTTCGTGAATGGCTTTCTGTTTTGTTGTAGAGCTTCCCAAGTGCACCTTCACAAGACTTCTGTTTGCGTTACAACACAATTTGTGTGTGTCTACAATCTACCGGCGGAAACTTTTGTGCAGTTATGAAACTGTGTGTGTGTGTGTGTATATATATATATATACATATATTTTGGAGATGTGCGTGGGCTAGAGTTCATACATTTCAATCTCGAATATGTTCAAAGGAAAGTTGATGTTCCAGTTGATGTAAAAGTAAAATTTCGGTCATTGAGGGAGAGGGTTAGTTTATGGTTTCACTGTTTTTATGTTTTTCATATAAAATCCTTCTTTCCATTTTGTGTAGATTGTAAACATCATACAACAGTTAACTTCTATTAAGTCTCAAATACTTTCAAAACTTCAATTTGTAGAAGTGTTAACTAAGTCAAAATGTTATTTTGTATTGTGATTATTATAAGCAAAAGAATTTAGTATAAATAATTCTAAATTGATTACGAGATCTCATCGTCTTTGTCAGGCTAACATTCAACAAAAGACAAGTGAATATCATGTTTATATCTTAACGTGATTAATTAAACCAAAAAATATGGTACTGTTCTGACATGGTTTTGAACATATCAATAATATGAAAATGGTGTAATTGTGTCAATTTTTCTATTAACATTATAATTATTTATTTCTTAAGATATTATAATTACAACATGTATTAAAATCTTTGAAAAGATCATAAAGTTTAACATTTATAAGCAAAAGCATGTGTCATGTTGTTAAATATAAAAATAGTTTTTATAAACTTTATATTTTATCTTCTATAAACACCATTTAACATTTGATAAAAACTTTTTTATTTTACAATTTAAATTATTAATGATATTATGTTCCAATTTAAATTACTAATGATAAAAATTAAAAATTAAAAATTAAAAAAAGTTTAAAAATTTGACCAATAAGAAGATTTGTTTGTATCTATGTCTTTCTCTTCAATTTTTATCTCACATTAAACCATTACACAAGAGCTGTGCCTTTTCAAATCTCTTTATTATTTGTCTTTCATGTAAAACTCTCATCCCTCTCATCTTTATGATACAGATAGAACAATTTGTTTGGAAAAACATACTTAACACTATACTTGTAATCATGTTAAGTATGTTTTTTCAAATTGCAATACTATCTATATTAATATATTATAAATTTAAATTAACTTGTGTAGAATTACTCACAAGCTCTCTTCCAATTAAGTTTTACAACATTTTAGAATATGCATGTACACCTTTTTGGATGATCTTGTATTGATAAAAAAAAGAGTCTCCACACTTGCAAAAGAAGGTGAGAGATCACAACTTATTAATTATTAGATTTGTTGAAATTAAAAACCTTATTTAGTTATTTTATATTCAAGAAAAAGCACTTTCAAGGCCATAAAAGGCAAATATGAAATTCAATACATTGTTTTTAGAACATAACACCAAAAGTGTTGTCCTTCAAAATTTGCAAGCCCTTTACAAAAGTGATATTTACAAAATTTTAAAAAAATTATAAATTCTTTTCTAAATAACCACTAAAATCAAATTCTGATTTTGTATGTTTATCTTAGTTGTTAGGATCAGCATACAAATTAACATATTGGAATTTTTAATTAAAAAAACAATTTGGTCAGTTTTATAACCTCTTCTCACTTTATACCATTCTCAAAAATCAATACTTCTAAAACAAAGTTTTTCCACACCAAGTGTAGGACTTTTGTAAGATTTTTATACCATAACCTTTCAAAAAAGACTTCTAGATAAAGATTTAATTTGAAAAAAAAAAAAAAAAAAAAAAAAAAAAAAAAAAAAAAAAAACTTTTTGAGATTCTGAGATTTGTGTCACCTTTAGCAAATGATATTATGGCACTCAAGCTGCTGAACCAATTTCACTGCAGGTCAAAAGTGGGTTTTGTCAGACGGCAATTCTGATTGGAATAGATATCAAGTCATTGTGCTAGACTGCTGAGTGCAGGAAGCATAGTTTGGCAATTGACCTTACTCGATTAGCATCAGCTAAGTGCTCACAGTTGTTGCGATTTCTGCGGGTTGTGACTGGAATTGACCCATCTCCGAAGCCCTACTCGATTGTGCGGAATCTTCACTAACCATCTTGATAGAGCAGAATCAAAATTAAACTACAATGAAATATTGCAAGTTACAATATTACCACACAGATGCATTCCAAAGAATGCGTCACGAAGGGCTTGCCAAGTGAGAACCACTTGATAACAGGACATGAACACTGTAGCAACCTTCTCATGAAATTTAGGTAAATTCCACTGCAATTCGAGATTCACGAAAAGAAAAGAAAAGAAAAAACAAAAACAAAAACAAAAACAAGCAAACTAACTCAAAATTAAAATAAAATAAGCGTAAGCCACATAACGCTTCTAGGGATATATTTTTGGTTTCCTTCTGCCTCATACCTTACAAGACTGGAGATTATATTGCGTCTCAGTGCTGGCATTCAGATAACTTGCAACCGAAGTAGGTTTTTATCTCTAATCAGACACCTACTGTCATTTCACGAGAGCACTTGGATCACATCCTACAAATTAACTGGCACGATGTTGTTGTGAAAGGGAGCTGTAGTCTTCAAAACTCCATCCAAACCATTTGGAACTACTTATCAAACCAACCAGTGTCCAAGAATCTAAGCCCGCCAATACTGTATCCTCAACACTAATTCTAAGTATCAGATGACACAATTACGATATACTAATTCCAGTCCCAGTATTCTTCATTAAAAATATCTACCGTCTAAAAGACTAATGGCTGGAAACCCCCCTATGAAGTATCTGTCATCTACCATTCTCACCGGAAGAAAAGCCTTGTGGTTTCAACTATGAGCATGACGAGTGTGATTCAACACCTTGGCTACCTGACACATCCATATGTGTGTCACCGGACTCCTCCCCATTAGGTACTACACCAGTATTTGCGTGATCTGTAAAATAAAACTCGATCCAATGAGTAAAGAGAATGTATCAAAATTTGCAATAGAAACCGAAACTATGGCATAACTGATTGCCAAACAATAAAGCAGCACCCTGAAAACAGAAGAGACTAGAAGACTACCGCTACTGTCAAACACACTTAGAAGTACAGACTACTTGAAGTATCAGGACATTTCATAAACCCTTAACGATGATGTCAGTTCCGTTTGTTTTAAATGATAATAAAAATGAAAAACAAAACTTCGTTACTAAGTGAATCCTCAATATCAATCCCTTCAAAGACCAAGATTCAGCAATTGAGTGTGTTTCCAAAGTATTTGCAAAAGAACACTAACAAAGCAATTTAAAGAAATGAGAAACATACAGGCATGGCTGCACCAAATATAATGAATTATATCTATCAACGTATTCCCTACAAGTGCTCAGACTTTCATTTGCTTTCCAAGTAGAATCACACGAATTATCAACTGATAAACAAAAGGATACATAAAACGTACCAAAGATAGAGACAATAGACGGTCTCTTAGGTTGGGGTTTCTTCTTAAGCTCAGCTGCTCAGAAAACACAGCATGAAGTCAGTGATATATTTATTTATTTATTTATTTATTTTAACCGTTCAAGTACGATCGTCGCACATCCAAATAGGATATCAAGAGATCCGACACAATTAACGAGATCCAAGACTTCAATGCAGGACTACAGTACATTGAGGTTGAGTTATCATACGTATTGGCGAATTCAACATCCCCTTCAATACATCCGAGTTCTTGTATGTGTAGCCCACAAAATTAGCATCCTTTGAAGTCAGCATCTGATGGCATCCAAGAAAACAAGATTCCATTAGATAGATGTGTGCGATATACCCAATCAAATGTATCAACCACAACAAGATGCTTCATATACCAAAGTACAGAGAACCTCAGGTCAAGTTGATGGGGAAAACATGATGTGAATACCTTTCGCCAGGGCCCTGGTTTGGAAGAAGTATGAGGCTGAGAATTCACCTGTAATTAACAACAACGTATAAGAAAATGCCCATGTGGGATAATTATAATGAATGAGACAGCATTCACATAGATTAAAAATTGAGCATATGCCATCGATAACGAAGAGTAGCCAGGAGTGCTTAAGAAGACCTTGAAAGCTCGAGTGCGATGAGAACCAGAAGTACCTCATCAAACTTCTCGAAATTTTGGGTGTCCAGCTCTCCATTCACCTCTGGTTTGTACGCAGCCTCCATTTCATAGAGCTTGTCCCATTGAACCCCCTTGAACCACGGGTGTGCCTAAACGAAAAGGGGAAAATGATGAGCAAAAATACAAACATCAATGCCACATTTGGATATTCACACCATTAAAGAATCAATGGGACCTCAATCAAATTTTCAACAAGATCGTTCAGCGTGAGGTCTCTAATTAGACTTCTGCTATCAATTTCACATCACTGAAAATCTACGAAAAACTACAAGTTCGAGTCAAAATATGTGGATATTCACCTTTATATCATCTCCACCTCTACTTCCTAAGCGATGGTCTACATCACAGAGCAATCTGCGGATCAGATCCTTAGCCTCGGGAGTCAACTTAGCTTCATCTGGAAACTTGAGGTGTGTTCTCCAATGCACTATCTGCGACACACCAAGAAATCAATCCATTTATACCAACTACTTAGACGAGGTAACTAGAAAATTGGACCACCTTTCGGAATAGTATTGAAATACACTCTTTTCTCCCCAAAGCTTTAATCATAATTTACTGATAGCCTCACGTGAAATATTTAAAAGTAAAATTTAAGGTGTATCAAAACAAAGCATCGCACACCTTTCTGCAAGTATGCATAGGGTCATCCGAGTAGAAGGGTGGATAACCAACTAGCATCTCAAACATGATAGCTCCAAGTGACCACCTGCAGAAATATGTCATTATCACAACGTCACGAAAAAACTCCTTTCTTCAATACTCTTTTTTGTGAATCATGATCAACTATACAGCTACAATCCAACGTCCACGATCTCTCGAGGAAACCATTCAAGTTCCTGTTCACAAGAAAATTTTCGTTAACAATACAGCAAAACATGTGAGGTATGCGATGTAATAATGATAATCATAGCCTCCGTTTCCGGCTGATAATCAGCGAAGGCGAGAACCCACCAGTCACACTCCATGCCATAGCCTTTTTTCAACAATACTTCAGGCGCAATGTAGTCCGGAGTACCAACTGTGGAGTATGCCTGCAGTTGTTCGTGAGCACACTAATTCAGTGTACGTGCGATTCACTAATGATAGCAGTCTACAACCACACGTTTTTTGAACGTGGTAGTTTGAATATATCTGAACATCATAAAGCACAATTCCAAATTCACTGCATGACCCAAGAATTACAACTCAACATTATCCTGAATGTAAGGCAGCCTCAGCCCAAACTGTAGCTGCACAAATCGACAAATCTTCCTTGAATGTATTATCAAAATGACCAACTCAATTTACAGCGATAAGACAACTAGAGGCCGTCTTTAAAAAAAAACAATATTTATCCAGCAAACGCTATAGGAAGGGAAGCATTGTACCAAATTACGCCGATTCTGTTGCCAATGTTGCAATTGCTCCTGCTGACTACGATGAGGGTTCCCACGCGTAGATGGTTGTAAGCGACCACCTTCTATGTTCATAGGCATAGGCTCCCGATATTCCTCGTCAGTACAAGGCTCATGTTCATGCAACGTTGTTAACGCACTACAATCTAAGGGTTTGCATAAACCAAAATCCGACAATTTCATATGTCCATTTTTGTCTAGTAACAAATTGTCGGGTTTTATATCCCTGCCACACCAAATGTAAAAGTATGACCACACCGTAAGATATCTTCAGAAAAAGGATTCAGAGAAGGACAGAGGAGGTGGACAGGATTTGAACTGACATCAACAAAATATAGAAGCTTTACAGACAATATACGTTGGAAAACTACTTGATCTGGAAGAGGACTGACCGATGGATGTAGTTGTGCCTATGGATAGACTGAATAGCCAAAACGGATTGAGCGACATAGAAACGAGCCTCGTCTTCTGTTAGGGTATCCTTACGCATCAGCAAAGTCATCATGTCTCCTCCAGGTAGGTACTCCATGATCAGGTATAAATATTCCGAGTCCTGAAAACTGTAGAGTAACTTTACGATGCAGTGACTGTCTACCTCTGCTAACAAGTTTCTTTCAGCCCTCACATGTTCAACCTGCATTGATATTGAACAGAAATCAACAACAAAGGTATAGATACACTAAGGTATTCCTTGCAGAAATGGAAAGTTACTAATCGAAACAACGAGAGAGGACGTCAACATAAAGTGTATCTGGTCCCTCGCGCCCGTACGGGCGGCTCTTTACAAATTTGCATAAAAGGCGAACAAGCAGCCCTCCCTACACAGTTCTAGGCAAGCTTATTTGCAACTTGACAAGCTATAGCTTCACTTTAAGCTGTCACAAGCGTACAATCCATCCCTGGTCGTATGATATTCTGAACGCTAGATAGACGATTTTGTCAATAAGTGGTTCTGTAATGTGGGGACAAGACTAGTCTAAGGTATACCTGCCCTCTTAACAGCATCTCTGATTTCTTCAATTTCTTCATGGCATAAACTTCTCCTGTTGCTTTCGCCCTGCAGAGCCTTACCTGCGACCCCAAGCTATACCGTCAATAAAGATCTCTTTACATACAACAACAAGCAGCCGTAGCATTCAGTATTACCAGAACAAGCAAGTGTATCAAACAAGTATATTTGGTGAGTACCAAATGAGCAAACCTGAACTGCTGACAACATCCAAAAGAAGGCAGATAACGCTTCATAACACAACCTTTCAAGAAGTAAAGGAAATGAGTGCATGAGATAAAAAGCTAGAGGGGGAAAATTTGTGAGAACGAACGGATGGATCATTTGAGAACATCTACAGTAGTAGATAACCAGAATGAGTGGATAAGCACATATGGCCTCAGGCCTATGACAGGCACTAGTTAGACTGTACGAGATAAAGGCTCGATTGGCCGGAATTGATATTTCCGAACCATCCATACCAGCTGAAATCGTTGGAAGTTATAAGTGTCATAACTCATCCAAAAACAATAATAAAACGTAAAAGAAAAGCAGAAGAAAAAAAAGTAGTTATGCTCTTGAAAAAACTGCACCTCTCCAAAGGCGCCACGTCCAATGATTGTTAACAGCTCAAAATCCTCCACCCCCATTTTATGACGTTGTAACCGCATAAACTCTGTCTCTTTACGCTCAAGATCCTTTAGCAAGTTATGTTGGTCCTCTGGGGACACATCCGCATCTTGTAATCTTCGCTCCAGGGTCCAGCGCCTGTCAGTAAAAGAAGAACGATGACTCAATGCTGCTGTTCTCCACTCTTACCTTTCGGATCCTATCTCTGGCACCATTGATGTGGCCCTCTCAAGCCAATTCTACCCCGAAAGAGGTCTAGAACCAAGTGCAGCTGTGCACGACATGACCGTAACTCCTTAGCATAACATTGCAATCAATGCCTTCAATTCATCTAAATGGTTGCATAACACATTTCGGCAGCATCGCATTTATGTCGAGTTGAAGGCAAGTGAAGGATGCCAGATAAATTGAGAAGCTGTACAATCCTAAAGGTGAACGAATTCTTCGTCGGCAGGATAAAAACTGAAGTTGACTAGCTCGATCAGAAATTCGGACGGAATATGATGACCACGGTCAGATCCGATCAGAAACTTGTAGGGTTTTCCATTGGAATGCGTAATGAGCTCTACTGCGCAGGGTGGGGAACCCGCCAACCTACGAACCAACTGGCTTACCACTGATACCAAATTCCGCCACGAAAATTCCCTCAATCTGCAACAATCGAGACGATCCACAGCAAACGAACAAACAGCAAGCTGCTCAAATTTTGAAGATGTCCAAATCGCTGTCTCTAAGCAGTATCGGGGTTTTCAAACATGTAGATACCGGTGAACTCATCGTTTCCTCTTCACGCTGTCCAAAGCCTACCAGCGGTAGGAGAAGGAGAGCATCAAATAGTAAACGAATCAAAAATCAAAAGTTGACAAACATATGACGCCATGAATAAAGACTAACGTCGTGAGGATTCGACGGAGACTACGAGATCTGATTTTCAAACTGCAATTGAAAGTGACGTCGCGGAAGGCTTCAAATTTTAGAATACAGGGTTAAATCTAGCCACCTGGAATGAACTCAACTTCCAACTACCATTTGATGACTGAGAGCACAGAAACTAACAAGAACACTTCCAATCGTTTTCAATCGTCACAAACTGAGTTCCATACGCTACGCGAGTTCCGCTCGGAGTTCACACCCAAATTGCAGTGTAAACAATTACATACTAAAAGGCTTTACCGGGCACTATGAATTAGGTCACAAAGACCCGTGACCACCAAGAAGATAGGTTGCACTAAGGCATATCCTGCAACTGCCAAATACTCGACGAAAAATTTGATGCATACGATTTAAACCACCGGGACAGACCAATCATGAGCACCGCCTAACCTCATGAGTCCTCACACACAAGGAAGCATAGAGAGAGACCAGGTACTTCACTAAATTCTTGTAATTCAATGAATGGCGATGTAGGGAGGAGATATAGAAATTCAAGCGAATAGTAGCACAAAGAGAGAATCAATCACAATGATAGCCAAAGACACCTTTAGCTGACACTGCAAATAAATACTGAATCGAAGTCATGATAGCAAAACAGAGTGAGGGATGAGTCGTCCACTACCTCTCTCTCCGCTCTTGCAAGCTCTTCATGTGCGCCTTGTAATGGTTCTCAATGTACTGTTTCGCTGCCGCAACTTTCTGGCGTGTGATGCTTGAGGCGAGATTGTCGTCGAGCTGCAAACCATCCGTATTTCCACCTTCCTTCCCCTCATCCGATCCCACGTCCAAACCTCCCATCCTGTCCTGCGCCGTAGACAAAACTGTCTTAAACGCCTCCGCTTGGTTCACAATTAAACCCCCTGCTCCTCCACCTCCTTTTAACCCCTGTTCTCCTTTCCAACCCCCGTCCTTCGCCGCCATCTGCCTCGTGCCTTTCCCTTGATCAACTATCCCGGAAACCACAACCTCAAACACGACCTCATCTCACCTCACCTCTCATCACATCACCACATATCACCTCACCTCACATCACATCACAACATCTCACCTCTTCTCATCATTCTCTTCAACCACCTCCCTAATCACACAATCTCACAATCTAGCAATCCCATAATTTGTCACAAAAGTCACTCCATCTCCTCTCCGTCCGAATCGCAACACCAGGAGCGCCAAGGCGAGGCGCTAGAACCGTCCCCTTTTCACAGAAAAAACGAGAGGGCAGTTAGTTCTAGTATTGGTCAACTAAGGCAGCGAAACCAAGCACGGCCACAGCTGGATGAGACGGAGCACGAAGCACTGAGCTGGACAGCACAAGGCGCCAAGGACGGCACTCTCATGTCCGCTAAAGATAGTCTCTCCTCCTTCAGCTTCTCCTCTCTCTCGGTGTCCCTTGCCTCGGAGCTCTCGCTTCCCCCGGCTATGGCGCTTGGGGCTTCCCCTGTGCCGCAACGACCAGGACGACGACGGCCCCACTGAAACCGACGATCGCCGCCCCTGCTACCGTCCAAATTCCAACGACCGACCTCGTCATCGTCCTCGTTCGTCATTCTACACCGTGGAAGTGGACGCCTATTTAGGACGAAACCCTCCTCTACAATATTCACTTATTGATAGCACGCAAGCAGGTACTATCTGATAATCCCATGTGGCCGCCCTATTTCATTGTGGGTGGGGATCATGGTTTGGACTCACTCATCTCCCAAATTACCCTCCTATTTAGTTCGTGGGACCCGCATCCATCCCGCATCCATCCATGCATTCATCTATATATCAATCCTAGTAATCCTAGCTCCAAGCTAATGTACATGAGGGTCCTGTATTTAGGAATGGTACCACCCCACAGTAGAAAATAAGCTACACGGACCACTTTAGGGCGACCATATTTCTACAAGGCAGGTGGATAAGATACTCTCTCATTGCATTCTCTTTGGTTTATTCCACTCTGCTGTCCCCCTCCCCAGTTTGTTTGTAAATCTTGTGAGCCACCACTGGCTGTTTGTTAATGAGCTTTGTCAGGTGGGGGGTGTTCACGAAGGAGCGCTTCTTCGTTTCAGATTCTGATTTGGATGATGAATTTCTCTCCGTTTCTTAGTTTTAACCCCAAGTAAAGTATTGTGGACTATGTTTGTGTCATGAATGTGATGCAAATGAGTAAAAGACATTAGGGTACAGTTTCCAATTTTGTGTAGGAAGGATAGTTTGGCAAAATGGTTTCAGTTTTCTTGCGGTTGAGTGAAATAGTGGATGATCTCTTTTGATCTGGCGAAGAGAACATCTCCATTAAAACCCAAACATGGTGGCCCTCAACTTCCCATTGTTAACTTATTCACTTTTATTTTTTATTTTTTTCTATTGTAATTAATGGAAGGGCTTTATCTTCTTCTGTTTTATTTTATTCTTTTTACTTTATTATCTTCAGGTGTGTGTGTGTAGAAAATAAGACTCTTGTGAAAACCTGCGAAAATCTAAGGGCTTCTCACATACCATTATTTCAGATGAGAAAATTAATTAATCAGCTCGTCTTCAGCCTAGTCACTTCAAAATGACAGTGAAAATAAATAAATAAATAAATAAATGGTGTCCAAGTGATGTTTGGTAGAGATTATACTGAAGAAACCCTGATTTAATTGTATTTTTTTATTACTTACTGGTTACTACAAAGATTTTGTGAAGAATTGTGTTCTGAGCTGCCAATCATTTGCCAGCGACGATAACCAATGTATAGTTTTTAAAATAACGTTAATTTATGATCTCAGAGATTGAGCTGATGCTCTCTGCAGCCATCAAATTGCCCACCCACAAAAAGCAAACATAAAAGTATAAAGTAGAAAGCGTGCATACAAGTGTGTGTGTGTGTGTGGGTAATCCAGAGAACTTACAGATTACAGGTTTGGTGAATTAAAGAGTCATATTAAAAGTAGGCAGAATCACTCACTTGGGATTGAAGTTCATATTCTCTTCAATGAATTTAGTTCTGGCTTTGACAAGGTCCTCATCAATCCCATGGACCAAGAGGACCATTTAAACTCAACCACAAAATTCCAATCCCCTTTGAGCTCCCTTTCCCCCTTTCTTAACCATGGAGAGAGAAAAAGAAAAAAGCAAGAAAAAAAAAAAAAACGAAAATTCCAAGTGCCATTCACTAACTCACTTCACTCAAACATTTTTTTCAAGAAACAAAGCCTCTCATTATTTTAAAATTAAAAACCTGGGTTGCAAAATAGCAATATTTGTGGTAATAATAGTAATAAATCTCGTACCCACAAACCAGCACGGGGGAACCCTAAAAACATAAGTTTTTTCAAGCTGTTTTTTTGTTGTTTAGGGTTGTTTAGGGCTGTTTAGGGCTTCCCATTATGGATTCATCCATGGATGAGAGCAAATACACCACACAGTGTCAGCCAAAGACCAAGCATGGCCACAGCCCTGGCCCTGTTGCCAGCCACACACACCTTTATCAATTTGCATTACTTCCATATTACTGGCCATCCCACAACACCCCATGCCCTTGCACCCACTCACCCAGCCAGTGAACAATGTTGAGATCATCCACATATTCAGATTGCGGGCAACTTTGTGCGGTCAGAGGTTTCAAAAGTATTATTTTTAGGGTTTAAGTATGAAGGTTTTGGGAACTAGGATTTGGGATTAGAGAGGGCTGGGGATTATGATCAGAGATTTTGGGGTTTAGGTTTGGGAGTTAAAAGTTTAGGGGAGCAAGCAATTTCAGGGACAGTGGGCACAACTATTTGTATGTGAAGAATTCTCCAGTGAAGAGTTTTGATTCCTTATCAAACTCCTTCCTTTTATTATGTTTTTGTGGAGTACCGAAACTGTTTTTGCAGTCATATATCTCTGCAATTAGAGGAAAGACCAACCCTAAACACCTCTCACATGAGGTTGTCACAATGTAAGTTATGTGCTGACACAATATCAATTAACCAATTAATAGGATCACCCACATGATTCTCTGTTACTGCTTTGAAAGTAGGCTTCTGAAACTGGGTTTTCAATGGTTGTGTTTGAAGCCCCTTTTGGAATGGCTTCCATGGAATCTGCTTCACAGAACATGCTCTTTGCTCATGCCAATTACTATACAAGAATGTCTACACTTTATCTTTTTCTTTTTTTTTGTTCTTTTCTTTTTGTTATTTTTTTTTACATAGGATTTTTGTAATTTATTGTCTGAATTAATAGTTTAACATTCACTAAGTACCTCTATTTTAAGACAATGTGACAGACATTTTTAGATTCAGTTTTTATATTTGTTATAGCTTCACATTTATTTATTACTTTTTCATTGGTAGAGTATATTTTCCTAAAATTTGTACGATATTATTACTTGTGATATCAAAAAAATTACAGAATCTATCAATGATGGTTATTATAGTAAAAAAATATATATGTATATATACACACACACAAACACAAAGGCTTTCATGTTTTCTTAACTTTCAACTTCATGAAGCCAACAAATTTGTCAAGGCAAAATAATTTAGCCATCCCTAAAATACTATCATAAGCAAAACCATTTTTGAAGATTTTTATAGCCACTCAACTTGGTAATTTGTTCTTGAATTTCTATGTATCATTCTTATTATATTATGTTTATTCCAAAAACAGTATATAAAGTGATGTATCTGTCATTTATATTAAGCCAACAATAACTTATCAACACAAAATTTACTTTTTAATCAAGACAATATTTAATTAAACTTGCAGTATCATGATATTTGGTTGTATGATTTCTATTGTGACTAGGATTTTTCTTTTTTCTTTTTCTTTTTTTCTTTTTTTTTTCATCAGCTTGTATACTTTTGTTTTATTTTCTTTAATAGAACATTGCATGCCTAATATAAATATATGTAATGACGATTTTTTCCGGTAATTTGAGCCTTCTAACTTGGTCATAAGTATGTATTTGTATATAGATTTAAAAATGTTTCTTTAATTATATTGCAACAATTTACATGTTGTAAACTCTAAATTACATATTTTGAATAAATTTCAAGTTTAATATCAAGATTTTTCAGCATTAAAATTAAATTTCATGAGTTATTTAACAAAAAAATAAAAAGATTTGATGGCATTTGATAAATAAATTAACAGCAGATTTTAAAAAATTGGAAAATTAATCACTAGACATGCAAAAATATTCTGATTGATGCGGAATTTAATTCTAAAAGTTACAGAATGCATTCTAATACCAATATGTTATATTACCACAAATCTTGAATTTTAATGGAGAATGTAAAAAATGGCATCATTTGTTTATACTAAGATCAAAAGAAAAAGGAAAATGTATCAAAATTTTCAAGAATTGGATCTTCTATCTCAAAATTGAAAACAATTAGGACGTTCTAGGTTAAATAAGTAAGGTTAAAATGTGCCAAGAATACAGTGGCAAAGAATAAATGAAGCAAAAAAAACAAACAAAACAAAAATCAAACAAGCAAACAAACAAAAACAATAAAATATACTAGAATCTACATTAAACAAAATATTACGAATAATATAAAAATTTAAATTATTCTAAAATTTGTGGTAGTTATTTTATTTTATTTTATTTCAGCTTTCCTCTTTGTTTATACTTAGAAAACGAAGTTTAACAGAATTGTCCATAGAAAAATCAAAGAGCTATAGAATATTCTAGAAGTTTAAATGATTTTCTACATAAATTTTTGAAAGAATATAGAATGATTCAAATGACTATGGAAGACAATGGAATTCAAAAGTTTGTCTTAGATCTTAAAGGTTGGAAAGACCTAAACAAATTGAACAGATATATCTAAGAGATCTTTGAAGGTTCTAAAGTACTCAAAAAATATACCATAGTTGCATATGTATGCAATTTTTTGTGTATCTAAGATGAAATTAATTTAAATCAAATACACTTGGTTTATATAACTTTAGCATAAAGTTCTAATTATACATTAATATAGGTTAATAATTTATTTTTATTTTTATTTTAAGTACCTTTACAAATAAAACTTATGTTTATGATAACAAAAGAAGTATTATCCTCTAAGCTACTTGTTATTAAAAAAATAAAATAAAATAAAATAAAATCCTTTAACTTGACATGACAATTTTTATTTTTATTTTTATTTTCTAAAAACAATTGTAGATAAAATATGGGTTTTAAAGTTAGGAGCATGGGTTCAAATTTTCATATGATATTCATCTAGTTTATTTTTGTATATTCCAATTTTATTATGTCTATTACATAAAACATGTATAAAAGAAGACAAGAAAATAAAGATTAAAAGTAGAAGAATTTATATCTTCATAAGATTATATTAGTTCTAAAAATACAATAAAGTTATTAAAGA